GGAGGGACCAGTTGCTGGAGAAGGTATCATGTTTGGTAAGGTAGAGGGTCAGAGAAAAAGAGGAAGACCCCCAGCAAGATGGATTGACAAAATAGTGGCAGCGATGGGCTCAGGCATAGCAAAGGTTGTGAGGTTGGCTGGCCTAGGACCCGGCAGTGTTACGTTCTGGTCTGCACAGGGTCGCTATGGGTTGGTATGGACTCAGCGGCACGTAACGACATGTATATAGAACCTCTTGTGGCTCTTGGGGATCCCTCTTATTCAACTCTACCAATAGAAGGTATTTTCCTGAATTTCGTAAAATGTTTAACAGAAGTACAACAGGAAACCTTATAAGACAGGTCACTATGAGTTGGAATTGACTTATGGAATTTTTGTTTTTAAGCATCAAACTACAAACCACAAACTCAAGATCAGTACCAACAACAATTTAACAAAACAAATCCCAATAGGAGAGTAGGGAAGAACTCCCAAACAGAGCAGAAAGGAGCTTGTGGTGGGCGGAAGTGCTGTGGGGGTCAGTGTCAAGATCTCAGTCCCAGATGATCAGAGTGAGTGATCTCCAACAACTCTCAAAAAAAAAGGGGGGATTTGGGATTGTTCCTAAACTGTCGAACTGCTGGAAGAGAGGGGGAGAAACTTGGGGAAACTGTCAGAGAGAGCAGGAAATGCTTCCAGGAACCTTCTAGAAGCTGCGTAGCCTGCTGCAGTGATCGGACTGCCTGCCCATTGCTGTGGGGACTGGCCTGCAGATGTGCTAATCACCTGAAGGTGCAGGCCATGATTTGCTTAGCGGATGCCGTCTATCCCTGCAGAGTGCCTCTACTCATTCATTGTTCAGAGGTTCATCTATCCATTCTCAGGGAGCTTGTATTCTCACACGGTGTAGACACAGGTCAAATGAAGCAGTGCAGTGGGCAGGGAGCCCCAGGCGGAGGGTGAGGCTGGGCAGAGGGCCTGTGGCAGGAGGTGTCTGGACATCTGGGGGCAGCAGGAGCCAGCAGGATGTGGACAAAGGGGTGGGTGGTCTTGTGGTGGGGAAGTCTAAGGGGCTGGGTAGGGGGCAGGACTATGACTGCTTTGTAGCCCACAGTGAAGGCTTTGGTCTTGCAGAATGGAGGAGCTGCTGAGCGTTCTGAGGAGAGGGTGGAGGGGTCTGCCATCTGCCCTAACAGGGATCCCTCAGCTGCAGGGTGGAGATTAGTGCTGATTCTGCTAAGAGGCAGGAGAGGGGTGGGGCCTGGACTGGGGGAGATTTGGGGGCTGAGAGGTGTGAGGAGGCCAGAGCATCAGCACAGGACCCTCCATTCCCACTGCCATCCCCGAGGCAGCCTGGCTAATGAGGTACTTGCACCTGTTGTCTGTCCCCACCCCCAGGACCAACATGGGTGTGGCTGATAGGTGAAGGAGGGACTCACCAATCTTGGGCTTGGCTGGGCTCCCTGCCCTGTAGGCGGCTGTCTGGGGTCCACCCATCTGGAAGGGAAGGAGATGTTGGCCGCTGACCTTGGGGACCACTCCCCCCGCCAATGACTACCACCCAGGATCACAGAAGAAAGCTTGGCAGGTGGGCAGGGGGGGGTGTTCCAGGTTTGGGGGGCCAGGTCACTTCAGTCTTCCTGAGGGCTTTTTGGGGCCTTGGAGTGCCCAGACTGGGCGGAGACTTCCATTGAGAGGCATGCCCACCTTCTGGGCCTCCGGGAACCTCGCCCGCTGGCCTGCGCACTGCCATCTCACCTCAGACACGGCTGCATGCAAGGCTGTGCTCCCATAAGGGCCTGCCCTCTCCGCTGTTGGGGCCACATCAATCAGGACTGCGCTGTCCTCCTCCCGGGTCCAGCGCCGCAGCATCCCACTTCTGTTCCAGCAGGACCAGGGTAGCCGGAGGGCAGAGGGATGTGAGCCCGGACCCTGGACCCCACTACCCCTCCCACTGTCTCTGGGGCCAGGCCAGAAAAGAGGTCTGTCTGCCCATCTGTCTGCTTCTTGGGGCTGCCTACTTTTCAGCCTTCCGTGGTGTGGGGGTTGGAGCCCAGAGCCCTGATGCCTCGCCTGATGGGCAGAGTTGCCCCAAGGGTAGCGGATGGTAGCTCGCAGGCGCTTGTCTGAGGAACTAATGCCAGGCCCCTGGGCAGGGTGGTGAGGGAGGAGGCATGTCTGGGACACCCTGACTTGGGCTGCACTAGCCATGCTGGCCCTGGGAGTTTTTCTGTTTGTCTGTGAGGATGGTGGTCCATTCCAGGTAATGGGCAGCAAAGTGCAGCCAAGGGTGGACAAAAGGCATGCAGAACTGCGGTGGCCAAAGGGGTGCCATCAGAGGACAGAGGTGGACAGATGTGGACAGATGTGGACAGCATGTCCAGTCCTGCCCTTATGTCAGGTAAACTGAGGTCCAAGGAGCAGAGCCTTAAGCACAGAGGCAGAGTGTAGTATCCGATGGTCTTCAGTGTGGACTGGGGGTCCTCCAGGGCTCTGAGTGGGATGTAGCCCTGCCTGGCTGAGCACCCCCAGAGGCTACCAGAGACCTGCAGAAGGGCCCACCCAAAGGCCCGGAGCTGTCCTGATTCACTGGGAGCTGGGGAAACTGAGGCCCCACTGCTTCCCCCCCACCCCCCAGGGCTCAGAGCCGGTCCTAGACAGTAGGGTCATTGGAGCAGCCCACACCTACCACCGCAGCTCAAGGTTTTTGGGTCCAGAGCCTGCTCCCCGCTGCCCTAGAGCCCAGAAAGTGTAGACGGGGTTCTCACCTGGCACCGTGCCTTCCAGAATCGGCCTCAGAGGTCATGGCCAACCTCGCAGTCCCTGTGTGGTCCGGCAGCAAAGTCCGGCCAGCCGAGGGCAGAGAATGCATGGAGCCCACGGCCCCCACCCTGTCACCTCCCCCAGCAAATGGCTGGTACAGGCAGTAGGGGTGAGGTCTGTGGGATCCTGGAATAGGACCTGCCTTTGTTTGAGCAGGGGGTGTGGGGCCCAGTCTCCACAGCCTATTTCCCTACCCCTCCCACGGGCACCATACAAATGTTGCAGGCAGCTAGTTAACAGCCGGCTGGCGAGGCGGGGACTCATTTGTTTAGTGATTTCAGTACTGCTATCACCTGGGAGCTGTGTGGACTGTCAGCGTGTCATTGACACCAGCCAGGCAGATCTGCAGACTCCTTTACGGAGGCACATGCCTCCGCCAGAGACCAATGAGAACTGCTTTCCTGAAGAAGGGGGCGGGTTCAGTCAGCAGGGGCACCCTTCCTTCATCCTGCCACCCGGGATGTGGACTTGATGGTTGGCTCTGCAGCAGCCCTCTTGCAACCATGAGGCTTTTGTTGTTAAGTGCCATGGTCGAGTTGGTTCTGACTCACAGTGACCCCGTCTAGGGTTTCCAAGGAGCGGCTGGTGAGCTAGACCCACCAGCCAACCTTGCAGTTCAAACGCACCTTGCCGTCCGGCACAGAGGCTACTGGAGTGCAAGTGCGACCCTGTCTCTGAGAAGGAGCCCCCTCCTAGCCCCGAGTGTGAGGTGACAAAAAGACCTCCTTGGCTTCGGCTGCAGTATTTGGATGGGGTTTCTGTCTGTGGTGTTTTCACTCACAGCAAATGCATCTTGAAATGTCACACCCACAGGTAGGAAAAGTTAGACCCAAGTCACGTGGGCGTGGCAGACACCAGTGCCATGCGGAGTGGGTCCTGTTCCTTTTTAAACCACAAAAGTAACGCAACTTGAAATTGTAGCTACCCATAAAGAACCGTATGAAGTAAAAAACAGAAGCTGTCCCCAGACTGAGGGGCCTGGCCGGCTCCAGCCCCTGCTGTGTGCCTCCCTTTGGAAGGTACACCTCTCTCTCCATTGGCCCTGGGGCAGGGCTGGGGCCCCTGGAGGGTCCTTCATCAAAGGCTGGACTCTGAGGGATCAGGCCTTTCTTGATGGGACCTTGTGGGAGGTCACTGCCCACCTGGGCTGTGGAGGGTCCAGGGATTGGAGTGCTGGGGGCGGGGGTGGAGCAGGTGGGGCATGAACCTCTGCAGGGCAGGAATCCAGAACGGGCTCCTAGGAGACACCCCAGAACCGAGAACTGAGTCAGCCCTGCCCCCCTCCAGGACCTCTGCCCTGCAGAGAGCAGGGCTGCAACTCCTTTCTTGGGTCTCTGGAACCCACATGACCTGCTGGTGACACCTGTCCAGCCCCCCCCAGACTGCCCCTGGTGCCTTCCAAGGTCTGCTGAGGCTCTGGGCAGCTGTCCTGTAAATCACCTACTGAGGGGAGCGCTGAGCTGCATGCATGGTGGGAGGGGCTGGGGATGGTGCTGGAGTCCACAGCGGGTCCTGGAGCTGGTCTGTACAGGGCCTCCTTGACCATACACGGTTCCTCCCTCACAGTTTTGTGGGAAGTGTGACGTGGGCCTCACGGGTAAAGATCAAGGTATCTGCAGGCTGGGGAGCAACCCAACGTCGTATCCTATTCGCTTGTAACAAAACTGTAACTTCTCTTTTCCTATCCATTTCAAACCATCCCCTTGGACACTCTTATGCCCTGGCCAGCAGAACTCTCTGAGGTGAGGACATGTCCTGACCCCAAGTTACTGGGCTGCCGTGGGCATGTCACAGAGCAGCTCTGAGCTAGAACTGTCACCCCCAGGCTCAGGTTCCCACTCACAGGTGAGGACACTGCTTTCTCTGAGGGCACACGGTCACACCTGAGAAACATCTGAAGTGTCACAGCACAGAAGGCTGGGCATCTCATACCCAAGTTCTCGCTTATTTCTTTATTTTTAATATATATAATTTTTTTCTCAAACTTGGCTCCAACTGGTCTACAGGTTTAATAAGCTCTCGGAGGACATGGGTCCTGATGCTGGGATGGCTTCTGAGGACTGCTGGGCAGCGGTGGACATCCCCACACACTCTCAGACCCACCATTTCACACGACACAGGCAGGGCCGCGGCCTCCCTTGTGGCCACAATAACCGTCCGACACTGACCAGGGGCCGCGCACCATGTGACAACGTTTAATAGAGCGGGTGTCGGGCATCAGGCAGGTGAGTCACCGCTCGGCGCCTTTACTGTCATTGGGCTGTGACTGTTGGCAGAGTGACCATCTCAGGAGCAAGAGGAAGATTAAAAACCGTGGCTGGGAAGCTCCATCGTGGGGAGGGGGCGGTGCGGAGCAGGGGTCAGAACCTGACGAACGTAGCGTCAATCTGCCGCACGGTGGGGAGGGCCAGCATGATCTTCCGTCGGTACTGGGGGTCCTTTTGCAGAGGGTTCCGCTCCAGGTACACGGTCTCCAGGCCCCGGGCACTCTGCAGTTCATCTAGGTCACTCCAGCTCTCGATGAGGTTGTCGTTCATCTGGGAGGACACACGGACACACAGCAGGCTCGCTACAGCAGTCGCCGCGCCCAGCCGAGCTGAAGCTCAGCCCCACAGAGCCCCCATCTGGGAGCAAGGTCATGAAGACACACAGAAGACCTGGCCTTCAGTCCTCCCAGGAACGTCCTGACCCCTGTACCTGCCCAGGGCCCACTGACCCGGAGTGAGGTTGGCAGAGGCAGGACAAAGGGAGCCTGACAAGACACCCCTCATCTCACAGCTGGGTTGGCCAGCTCTGTGCAAACCTGCTGAGATGGAACACTCAGTACTGCAACGGACCCTTCTGTGTTGTGTTCTGTTGTGGGGGGCCTGCTGGTGGGGGCGCCAGAGGCACCTTCCGAATACTCCCCACGTGAGAACGCCAGAGTCTCGGCTCCATTTAAACCCCTGCTTACTTACCAGTAAGCACTGACCCTTCACACAGATCTACACCTGAAGGAGACCAATGCTGCGGACGGGATTCTCTGACAGGTGTTGGCAATCTCCCAGACAAACAACTCAGGAAGTGCGCCGCCTACGAAGCCGTTTTAAGGAGTGTCTCAACACTGTCTTGGGACCACCCTGTAGACCCCCATCAGTCACATTCGAGGGGACTTCCAAAGCTTGTGTGACAATGGAATTAAAAGACAGTGGAATTTCCCATGGACTTTTTAAAGTCCACTTGTACTCGGCAATGATCTGATTAACTCAGCAGCCCACCCATGCCATCCATAAGAGCCCACCTGTGAGCCTGCCCCTAACTTCCCCACTTTGCAGACTGCTGATCAGAAAATCATACTTCCAATTCCTGATTTTACTGTGTAAATACGCTGTCAGCCTTCACTTCCCCGAAGTGCGTAACCCTGGCGGGAAATGTTTTCAAACCGGCAACCAATCTGAACACAGTCCATGTCGTCATGTGTCGATGCTGTGATGTGCCTACCGCAACCACCTGGAGGGAAGGCACTTGTCCTCAGCAGGAAGTCTCACCCTTCCAGACCCTCCACCTGGGCTCAGCACACACCTGCCCAGTGATCACGTGGGCCTGCAGATGTGCTCCAGGCAGGAAGGTAGGTACACTGAGTTTCCAAAGACGGGGACCGAGGGAAAAGTGACACCCGCCAAGAAACCCAGTTCTGAGGAGACCTCCATGTGAAAGGCACAAGGGGGAGGGGCGTGGCCCACGGGGAGAGTGTCAGCGTCGCCCGGGCAGGGGTGTGCTGGCCACAACCTAGCACTAGCTGATGGCAGTGCATGGCCAGGTCAGTGACGCCAATACCACAGAGTAGGGCGCCACCAGGGCAGGAACCTGAGCAATCCCCCCAGGGGTCCGGGAAGGCAGAACGTTGGAAGAGGGGCCAGCAGAAAGCCGGGGGCCCAGCAGCATCACAGCCGTCTCTAGGAGCCACACGGACACGACAACTCCCTTTTCTGTGGACAAGGACTCTCTGGAGTTCACCATGGGCAGAAGGTGGGTGACGGATTTCACAAGGCAGAGACTTAGGGTAGAAGCCACCCTTCATGGAACGGCTCACTAGAGGGGCAGCTGATGGACACTTGGCAGCAATGACACGGAGGAGATGTCCTTGACAGAGTGGCCCGCATGCCACTGTGCTCAGACAATGGCCGTCCCTATGGAATTCTGTGACGTGCCTCCAGTTTGGCTCTGAACGCGTCTAAATGGCTTTAGTGAGCGAACACTTGAGACACCCCTGTGAGCCAGGCTCTGCTCTGTGTGCTGGGGCCCTGCAGGGCGCCTTACAGGTGGGTGCTGACCATGGGGGCTTGGAGGGCAGCTGGCAGGCTACTGTGGTGGTCCAGGGAGGGCGTGAGGGTGGCTTGGCCCAGGCTGGCAGTGGCAGGGCTGAGAAGAGGGTGGAGTCTGGCTACGCTCTGAAGGGACCCACTATGGAAACCAATGTGGGAGATGCCAGGGTCTCTGGACTGCAGACCTGAAGGGCTGGAGCTGCCATTCATCAAAGTGGAGACCAGAGGTGGAAGGGAGAACACACGAACCCAGGGATGGGCGTGGTAGCACCAATTCTGACTCACGGTGGCCCAGTATGTGTCCCGTGGCTGTGACCTTCCAGATGTCCATCACCAGGCATTCTTCTAGTGTCCCTCTGGGCAGACTTGAACCTCCAGCTTTTTGAGTTAGTAGTGGCATGCTTAACCATCTGTGTTAGCCAGGGCCTCTGAGACATACAACAGCCCTGTTCTGGGAAAGGCACTGTGGCTGGGAATAAACTTGGGGGCCAAGAAGACGCGTGGGTATTTAACGGCATCTGACTGGCTGGGGGTGGTCATGAGGGAGAGAGAAGACACTTGAGAACCAAATTGCAGGGCACTCCAGCCTTGTACAGGTGGAAAATGAAAAGAAACAACAAAAAAAAGAGAAACAAAAAGGAAGGCCTACAAAGATGGAAGGGCCAAGAGTGGGATGTCCTGGAGACGGAAGGAAAAAAGAACTTCAAGGATCGAGTGGTCCAAGTTACTACCGCTGCTGCTAACTA